TTCATTCATTTTTTTAATATGTTCATGTGATCACTATTGCCCACAATGTGCCAGGTTGCAGCCTGGCATGCTGGCATGCGTTCCCTGTCTTGTACAACTCACCATCTGCTGAGGGAGGCAAGCAAGAGAGGAAAACTGCCATTTCTGGCACCCATTTCTCTGTCATCAGGAAGACAGCTAAATCTAAGAGCTAGGGGTGACATGACATGGGGAATGTGGTCCCCCTTCTCCGATGAGGGGTGTGTAGACTGACAGGCACCACACGATGCAGTAGACAACCCTGAGGCTCAGCATGGAGGCCCTTTGTGCCCCAGCTACGCTACCCTGGCATTTACATCCCAGAATCTCACACACATATACATATACATAAACACCACACACTATATGCACAAGTATGTACACATACATACACCACACACATATGCATTCATACATCCACACATACACACGCACATGCACACACAGGAGTTGCTGAGTCACACACAGAAACTTACTTCCCTTGCTTTAGGAAGGGAAGGCAGAGGAAGCCAGGGCTCATCACTGGTAAGGGCTGCCCAACACACATGCTAAGCAGCAATGGACATGTGTGAGACTCTACACACAGAACAGTGGCAAGGAAATGAAAGGAAATTCTCCACAAAGCAGGTCTTTGGAAAGCACTATCTGTAGGTTGGCCCATTCATACAAATCAGCACTGTAGGTCATTTATAAGGAGACATACATATCCAGAGCACTCATTGAAAATATTAAGAGTGAACCAGGTGTGGTGACACATGCTTCATGAAATATTAGAAATATTGGAGTGAACTGGGCATAGGCTTCTTTAATACTAGCATTCCAGAGGCAGTGGAAGGTGACTCTCTGGGTTTGAGGCCAGTCTGGTCTACATATTGAGTTCAAGACCAGCCAGGGCTACAAAGTGAGACCTTGTCTCAAAATGAAAAAAAAAAAATTTAGTATGGGACCATATATATATATATGAAAGAAGAGAAAGTGCTAGAGAGATGGCTTAATGGTTAAGAGCACTGGTTGCTCTAGCAGAGGACCTGGGTTTAGCTCCCAGCTCCCATGTAGTGGCTGACAACCACCTGTAACTCCAGTTCCAGGGGAATCTGACACCCTTTTCTGGCTTTCACAGGCAACAAGCACACACGTAGTGTGTGTACATACATTCAGGCAAAACATACACATAAAATAAAAATAAATCTTTAACGAAAAAACAGGACAGGGGGTTGAGTGTGAGTTGGGGTAAATCTTGGAGGAGTTAGGGGGAGGAGTAGGAATGAATAGGCTCAAAATACATTGTAAGCATGTATGAAATCCTCAAAGAATTAATAAAAATATTATATTTAATAAAAATACTAGCCTGTGTGTCTAGGTGGGGATCAGAATGAAAACAGCTCACAAGGTAGTATGTCCACACCAGAAGATGTTACATGAGGGCACAAAACAGATCACAGGGAAAAGTCACACTTCTGGGCACAGACCTTGTCTGGTCCTATGCAAAAAGACAAGCCCTCCAACCAAGAAGGAGGGTGGGACAAATACCCAGAGGCTGAGCACTGAGGCCTCTTAGCAAGAGAGTCAGAGGCACAGAAAGCCAGGTTATCCTCAGGCAAGGAGACAAGGCGGGCTAGCTGCTGCTCCCCTGGCCTGGAACCTTCCTCCTCTTCCTACCAGGCTGCCTCAAATGCCAAGTGGTGGGGAAGGAGCAGGGCTGTGGCATCAGATCAATCTGACCCCCTGCTTGGGGTGCTGGGTGATCCCAGATAAACCACCTCCTTCTTCCTCAATGAACTTTGGCTTCTCCATCTGTAAAATGGGAAGAGTAGTAATGTTGGGGCCAGAAGGTAACAGCCTACTACAGCAGCAGGTGCTTGAGGTAGCTGGTCCACTGCATCCACAGCATGGAAACAGACAGAATGGGTGAATTCATGCTCACTAGTGCTCAGCTCCCCCTCTTCACTCAGCCCAGGTCCCAGCCCAGGAACCTGTGCCACCCTCATTCAGAGTGGGTCTTCCTACTTCCATTAACCCAATGAAGAAAATTCCTCACAGGACTTCTCAGGGGGTCTGTTTCCCAGGTGATTCTAAATTTTGTCGAATGGCCAGTTAACACCAACTATCACAGGTGCTCAATTGGTAGTATATTATTTTCATAGCAGCTGATTGATAATAATGTAAGATGGACAGGGAATGTTCGGGTGCTCTAGCTCTGGCAATCAGAGAAGCCCCCCGCCCATGAGATTTGAGTGGGCATTTGGAGTAAGTCAAGGGATCAGCTATGGGGACCTCTAGAGATGGGGTGCCTGAAATGGGCTCTGAGGATAGAGAGGCCAGTGTCACTGGGCCCAGAGTGATGGACAGGATGAGAGGAGCTGAGGCCTGTATGTAGGAGGCCCAAGAATGTAGTGGGAGGCCTGGCCTACTCCTGGTGGCAAGTCCTGAAACAGTGGACCCCATGCCAAGCGGTGGGTACAGTAACACACACCTACCTCCCTTGGGTACTAAGCTCTTGCTCCTGATTTCTTGGCATAAGCTTCAGGGACTGTCACCAGCCCCAGGAATGGGAGATATTCTTAGTCCCATTTTTCAGAGAGCAAACTGAGACCCCCCCTGAGAGACAGCTGGCTTTGGAACTGGAGCCAAGTTTCTTTGATGCCAGACCCAGGCTGGCTGCAACCACATTGTCTTGAAATTCTTTGTTTACAGCTTGCCTTCCTCTGCTACAGCCTGCAGCCATCTACTTGATCTCATTCATGATTTTATTTTACTCCCAAGGTGTCTTGTGTCCAAATCTGCCCAAGGAGCAACTGAATGAATGAGCCTTCAGGGGCTGGCACTCCTGCCTCCCAGACATCTCCAGTTAGGAGCTGGAATTGGGAGGGGGCTGGACAGGAATTCCAAGCCTCCTGGGGGTCAGGAGCAGAGGGGAGGGGGGGAACCAGGAGAAAGTGAAAGTGAAGGGAACTAGGAGCCCCTGTGAGGAGGCGCAGACAGGGAAGGAAATCTCCCGGTCAGTAATAATTCATGGGCTCAGGAAGTAGCAGCGGCGGCCTGGGCTGCATGTGGGGCTAGCCCTGCAGGGAGGGGGTCCCGGGAGAAGGCTCCTTCTCCTCCTCACCAAAGCCCAGCCTGGCTGGGTCATGGTCAAATGGTATGGGGGTGGGAGAGCCAGGTGTGGGAACAGACTCTCTGACAGACCTTGGGTTCTGAAGACTTAAGGGTTTCCTCTCTCAGCAGCCAAAGGAAACTCCTCCAGCCCCCTCCCAGCCCCCTTCTGGGCTAGGTCAGGGGCCTGGGAAACAGCACATTGGAGCTGGAAGGCTTCTTCAAGAGAACTGAGAAGCATCTATAAGCCTTCTGACTCCACCCCCTGTGCCCTTTGCAGGTCGGACCAGAAAAGAAAACTAATTTCAAGGCCAAGTGTATGCTGATATAGCCAGTTCTGGGAGGAACTGAGAGCCAGGAATGAGTCATGTGGAGATCCCAGTGGCTCGGTTATTCTTCCCAGGGTCACTATGAAGGACGCCTGGATTGCACAGTCTGAGATTTCTGAAAGAAGGGGGCTGCTGACAGAAGGTGAGGTCAGACTGCATGGACTCTGAGAATAGTGAAGCCAGACAAGGTTGTGAAGCTGAAGGCCAGCTCCCAAATATGTAAGTCAGGGGCAATGCCCTGCAGCATCAGCTGGGCACAGAACTGACCTCAGCCTTGTCTGCCACCATCTCCATGCTCCAGGGTCTGGAAGACAGTTGACTGTTCTGATCTCAAACTAAAACCATGACCCACGGGGCTGGAGAGATGGCTCAGTGGTTAAGAACACTGGTTGTTCTTGCAGAAGACCTGGGTTCGAATCCCAGCACCCACATGGTGGCTAACAGTCTTCTGTAACTCCAGTTCCAGGGGATCTGGCGCCCTCCTCTGTCCTCTGTGGACATTGTACTTACACATGCAGGCATAACACTCATACACATAAAAATAATAAATAAATACAATAAATATATAAATAAAATAATACAAAAGAACAAAAGGGAAGCTGGAGAGATGGCTCAGTGGTTAAGAGCACTGACTGTTCTTGCAAAAGACCCGGGTTCCATTCCTAGCACCCACATGGTGTTTATCAACTGTCTGTAAATCCAATTTCAAAGGATCTGAGCTCTCTTCTGACCTCTGTGGGCATTGCACGACACAGATGCACTTACATACATGCAGACAATACACTCATACACATAAAATAAAAATAAATTTTCAGGGTTGGGGATTTAGCTCAGTGGTAGAGTGCTTGCCTAGCAAGTGCTAAGGCCCTGGGTTCGGTCCTCAGTTCAAATAATAATAATAATAATAATTTTTTTTTAAAGGAAAAGGAAGGAAGAAAGAGAGAGAAGGAAGGAAGGAAGGAAGGGAGGGAGGGAGGGACTGTTGTCAGGTAGGTGACATGTCTCATTTCTCTTTGGAAAGATAACATTTCTGCAAACCCTCCCCTCGGTCAGCACCAGAGTTTGTACAAAATGCAGTTTCCTCCGCCACACTCCAAACTACAGAATGGAACCAGTGCAGTCTAGTCTGAGAAGCTGTTGGTCCAAGCCCCTAGGCCACTGGGCTGGAATTTGAGCGCGGGAATACTCCTCCATCACTTTGGGACAGAGGAAACAGGGCGAGTTAACAGGGACCTGCCCGCGTGAGTCCCAGTGGGTGTGAGCCGAGGACGGGAGGCCGAGTCCAAGCACCTCTTCACCCAGCCCTTTAGCCTCCCAGAGACCAAGTCCTCGGGAAGGCCCCGACCTCACCAGCCACTTTCAACCTGGGGGGGACCTGTGCATAGTCATTGGCCGAGGTGGGGCAGGGTGGGGTGGGGTCCTCGGCGCCCCATTGGCTCCCGGGGCGGCCGCCTCGTGATTGGCTCCTCCCCCAGCTATAAGGCGGTGTCCGGCCAGGCCTTGGGAGCGCGGGGGAGTGCACGGCGGGGGTGGTGGCTTGGGGACCGTGCGCAGAGGCCCCGGGCGCCCATGGCGTTCGCGCTGCTGCGCCCCGTCGGCGCGCACGTGCTGTATCCCGACGTGCGGCTGCTAAGCGAGGACGAGGAGAACCGCAGTGAGAGCGACGCGTCCGACCAGTCGTTCGGCTGCTGTGAAGGCCTGGAGGCGGCGCGTCGCGGCCCGGGTCCCGGGGGCGGCCGGCGGGCGAGCGGCGGCGCGGGCCCCGTGGTGGTGGTGCGCCAGCGGCAGGCGGCCAACGCGCGCGAGAGGGACCGCACGCAGAGCGTCAACACGGCCTTCACCGCCCTGCGCACGCTCATCCCCACTGAGCCGGTGGACCGCAAGCTATCCAAGATCGAGACGTTGCGCTTGGCATCCAGCTACATTGCGCACCTGGCCAACGTGCTGCTGCTTGGCGAAGCGGCGGACGACGGGCAGCCTTGCTTCCGTGCGGCGGGCGCTGCCAAGAGCGCGGTCCCCGCCGCCGACGGCCGCCAACCGCGCTCCATCTGCACCTTCTGTCTCAGCAACCAGCGCAAGGGGGTGAGTGCGCCGCGCCTGCTGCAGCCGGGGGGTCGGGGTTGGCGTGGTGGCGGAGGTAGGGGTGGGTTCAGGCCTCCGGGAGCCGGAGAGGGACAGGAGCTCCCTGGAAGAGAAGGGGAAGGAAGCTGGATAGGGTGGCGTGTGCGGCGTCCCTACGCCCAGGGATTGATGTGGAGCAGAGCCACTTGGTTAGGGGTACAGGGAGCCCAGAGGTCCGGTCTGACAAATTGCGCATTGAGAGGTTACCTGTCCCAACTAACGGTGTACTCCCGACGTCCAGCACTCTGGAAAGAGGAAAGACCTTTCTCTACCTGATGTTAGGGCAGGTGGCAGGTTTTCTCCTCTGTTACCACTAAGGAAGAGCTGAGTCTCAGATGAACTCACTTGCCCTCATTTACAGGAGGTGGCTCCGGGCTTACATCTGGAATGAACTGTCCTGTCTTAAGACCTGACCCAAAAGCAGGAGACTGAGAAGAAATGGGAATACATATACCTGTACCTTAGAGCCTGAGGTCCCCACTTACGTACAGTAGAAAAAACGGGTCCCACAGGGTGCGCTTGGCCTGCCCAGCCCTCAGGAGCCTGCTTGGTCCCGACCTGCTTGGTCTTTCGGTTTTGGCCTGGGCATTCCCTACAGTGAGAAAGCCTGCCTGTGTGACCGAGTTAGATTTCAGCATCCACTGTTTACAACTGGAGAAATGAGGCTCAGAGTCCTGCCTGGCTCTAGGTGGCCATCCCATGAGCATGGGGATGGTAGGCAGCCTCACAACTCTGCACACTTTGGTGGTCAGGGCTGTACTCTTTAAATGCTTGCTCCACTGTGTTCTGGGGAGGCCTCTGTGGCTCAGACTACCAAACTAACTTCTCCTCCCTCAGCTGCCTCAGTTTTCCCAAGTCTTCTTAACCCTGACTAGTACCCTCTTGAGGCCTCCTGTCAGTGTCCCAACTGGAGTAGGAAGTCACAGCTGAACTTTCAAGTGTGCAACTGGAATGTAAAGGCTGACTGGGCCCACCATAGTACTCCCTGACTGCCTGTCACCCAGGCAGCAGCCAGTCATTCATCCAGGCCAGCAGCCCTTGACCACCTAGCAGCCACCCTTTGTTGGCTCTGAGAATATACCCAAAGAGACAGATGTGGTCCCCCACCCGCCAGGTTCTCCCAGTACAACTTCGAGGCCAGGGAGAGGGATGAAGAGGAGGATTCTGTGGTTTGATGGGACTTGGAGAGCCAAGGGATGCCCAGCCCCAGGATTAGGCCAAAGGGCTTCTGTGCAAAATTCCTAAAGGATGCCTGGGAACAGAGGCAGGCAAATAGATGCAAGGTGGGAAAGGGGGCTCTAGAGCATGCAGGGTAAGAGCTGGGGTTCAAAGCTGTGACCTAGAGAATGAAGTGGCTAGTGGAAAGATGTTAAAGATGGGGAACATAAGAGGCAGAAAGTGACCAGAGTCTTCCTGGGTACTAATCTATGCTCAGTACTCTTCCCAGACTGTCATTTAGGTCCCTCTACAGGCAGAGGAGGAACCCTGTGGCCATTCCCACCCACTTGGACAGGCTGCCCTTACACAGCAGTGATGGCAGGATTGGCCCTTGGGTCTGCCTAACTGGGAAGTGGGAAAGGTGACAGCAGGTGGGTCCTGTGCCTTCAGGATTATTGAGAAGGCAGGTCTGTCTGTGCCACAGCAGGTGGAATGGGGGCTCCTTTGTAGGTCTGGGGACTGTCCCATGGCTCACAGGGCCTGGCTGCTTCCCTGGGATCTGTCTGTGGAACCAAGAACCTAGCCAAATTTGGCTGTAGAAGCCATGCTCAGTCACACAGGCTCCTCTGGGAATAGCCAGAGTGATGATCCCGGCCAGTGCTGCTCCCCTCCCCCAGGAGTTGTCTGGAAGATGCTCTTGAGCTCTGAGGCCAAGAAACTCCCAACACCCCAGGCCCCATCTTCTTGGACCACCACCTATCCTGGATGGTCTGGGGTTGGGGTTGCCATGGAAACAGTCCCTGCAGCTCCTTCCTGCTCAGGGGTAGGTTAAGGATGAACTGTGGTGGCAGGAGTGAGTGGAACCCTGTTTTCCTTTTTGTCACCTGGGAGTGGAGCTGGACAGGAGCTCCTTGTGAAATTATCCTCTATTGTTGGTGTGCCCAGCTCAAGAGCAGAGGGTGCAGGAGGTGCCTTTGGAAGATGCTGCCAGTCATACTATATTTATTGATCACTTACTGTGTTCCTCAAGCTGTGCTAAGAGGTTTATTTCCTGGGCATGATGGCTTAGGTCTGTAACCCCAACTACCCAGAGGGCTGAAGCAGGAGAATTACAAGTTCAAGGCCCACCTGGGCTACAGAGTTAACTGCAAGGCCAACCAGGGCGACTTAGTGAGACCCTGTCTCAAAATAAAAAGGAAGAACAAGGCTGGAGATACAGCTCAGTGACAGAGCACTTGCCTTGCATTCATGAGGCCTTGGGCTCCACCCCCAGTACCACAAAATAGAACTTTACCTGTTAATGTGTGTCCCCTAAGCTAGCTTATTTTTCCTATAAGGTAACGTGATGCTACAGATGAGGAAATGGAGGCTCGGTCCAGCAAGGAATCCATATTAGAGGAGAAATGTCTCACCTGAGCATGACTTGGAGCCATCGTGTCTCCCAGAGACCTTTGGTACTGAGTTCTTGGGGGACAGACACTCTGGGTCTGGTCAGGACTTCTCAGCTCTCTTAGTAGTGTACACAGCTGTATTTGCATTCCACTATACCTGGAGTCGCCATTTCATAGATGAAGAAACTAAGGTTCAGGGAGGTGAACTGTCCTAGCATTTCCATAGAACCCAGGTCTCTGAGGGAGGACCTCCAGACTTGGGGTGGGAGATTGTGTTTCCTGTCCCTGAGGATGTAAGGGTAAAAGGGGGGGAGAGTGGTTTCTGCCCCCCCCCATCCCGCCCCATCCACCCTTCTCAGCCACTCCTGCCAGAGTCTGTCTGAGAAGCCTAGGTCCAGGCTCTGCTGGGACCACGGTCTCAGCCCTCAAAATAGCCCTGCCTGTGAATGAACATGCTGTCCCTGGGCCCAGAGAGCCTCCAGGGAGGCTAGGCTCACATCTGGATGGATGTGCCCCAACCTGGGCTGGGGCAGAGGCAGGAGGCAGCAGAGGCAGAGGTCCCAGATGGTCCACTGGGTCTCTAGATGTGCTGAGGTCACTGCCAGCCCAGCCACTTTAATTCGATTCCTGAAATGAGCACTTACTGTGAGATTCCATATTGCACAGTGCCTGGAAGCAGGGGCTGACAGGCAGTGTGGGCTTCTAGCCCAGTTCTTAGTAATGGCTGGTGCCTCTGGGTCAGTTACTCAACACTCAGCCCTCAGAAGGGGAGTGCTGAGCTGCCAGTGCTGGTGCTGGCCTGTAACACCAGCCCTCTGACTTCTGACTCAGGGAGGCTGAAGCAGGAGGATCTCTAGTTCAAGGTCAACTTGGTCTGCATACTGTCAGGAAGGAAAGGAAGGAGGAAGGCCATGGTTGTGAGTGTTCTGGCTTTCAGTGAGGGCGAAACCTGTGTTCATCCTGAAAATATTGGTGAGAGGGTTTGGCTAAGGGACTGCCACCATGAACCTGAAGCAGTGCGGACTGTCCTCTGCTGGGCTGCAGGCCCCAGGCTGGAAGAATGAATGCCCTTCTCTTCCACTCCCTGGACTCCCTCCCAGTCTGACAGGGACAAAGGCGAGACTTTGTCTCTCTCCTTGGTTTACCTCAGGAGAATGTCCCAAACATAAGAAATGGGAAGCAATTTCCATTTCAGTAGTAGAGAAACCTTCCTGGGGAGACCAGAACTAGAGCAGAGGGTATAGTCCCTGGGCAAGAAAGACCTGAAGGCAGGCAAGGAGGCCAGAAACCCGCTGTGTACTTTTTTTTTTTTTTTTTTAATAGCTAGGGTCTTACTCTGTAGCCCTGGCTGGAACGCACTATGTAGATCAGGCTAGCTGCAAACTCAGAGAAATCCACCTGCCCTCTGCTTTCTGGGTGCTGAGATTAAAGGCATGTGCCACCATACCCAGCCACTCACTGTCTTATTTTTGAAGAACTGTCTATTTTTTAGAGTGGCCGTGGCTGGATATATACAGACCAGTCAGGCCTTTCTGGCCCCTTCATGTACAATATGCTTTGTTTTACAGTGTCTGAAAATTTTATAGACTAGGAATGTAGCTCAGAGGTAGCATATGTCCTTAACATGTTTGAGTTCAATCCCTAGCACCTCCTACCGAAAATGTACTTATGTGTGTATATTACATATATGTGTTAGAGTTAGGAAAAGTTTGATTTTGGTTTTGGTTTTTTAAACAGGTTCTCTTATAGGTCCTGGTTGTCTCAGAATACACTATGTAGACCAGGCTGGCCTCAAACTCATGGGTGATGTTCCTGCCTCTGCCTTCTGAGAGCTGGGATTTCAGGTATGTGCCAACACACCCAGCATAGTTTTTTTGGTTTTTTTTGGTCTTTTTTGAGACAGGGTCTCTCTGTAGCCACAGCTGGCCTGGAACTCAGAGATCCGTCTGCCTCTGCCTCCCAAGTGCTGTAGTTAAAAGCGTGAGCCACCATACCCAAAGGCATTCAGTTTTTTAAGCAACAGGTCATTAGTTGGGAAGGAGTGGAAGAGGTAAAACTATGTGAAGGAAAAGTGCCTTGCCTTCCTGCCAAGAATCGTTAATTCCTCTCCTGTGAGTGGTGCCCATTAGAACGGCCCACTCGGGCACAGCTCTCCAGAAAGGATACCACACATGACATACTCCCCTCTTCCCTTGCTGTTGTCCCTAAACACTCATTCCATGGTACTCACTGTCAATCCAGAGTTTTCTCTGGTCTTTGCCCCATGTGGCTGAACTTTATTCATCAAAGCCTCTGTTGTTGGGCACAGAGGTTAGTTCCAGAGGTAACCCCCTGACACCTCTTTCTCTTTGCAGGGCAGCCGTCGTGATTTGGGGGGCAGCTGCTTGAAAGTGAGGGGGGTACCGCCCCTCCGAGGGCCTCGGCGATGAGCCTGGGTCCCTGCAGTGTTTACTCCAGGCAGAATCCAAGAGAAAGAGACCAGGAGCCATCACCTGGCTGGACAAGGGAGAAGAGTCCAGAAGCCAAAACCACTCCTGCCTTGTGTAGGGACTAACGGACAATGGCCTGGACACAGGACCCTCAGGACATCTCTGGCCCACCCTTGAGAGCCGTGAGGACCCATCTAGCTATCCAGGCCAAGCTGACCAGGGGCGAGGCAGAACTGTTGGAAAACCAAAGACTACTGGTGACAGAGGGTGTGTGTGTGTCTGTGTGTGAGTGTGGTGTGTGAGAGAATTGGTGGAGTTAAAATAAAAGTATTTTTAAATAAAAAGCATGGTTCGTAGCTGAGGAAGGGAAGGGGTGTAGGCAGCGGGGCTTAGAGACAGCCCCCTCCTCAGTACTCAGATTGTTAAGGCTGTGGCAGGGGCTCCAAGCCATGGAGGGCAAACTGTGGGCAGGTCCTTCTCACAGTCTTCCAGCTCAGTGTTTATCAGTATTGTTAGGTGTCTGGAGTGGTGGCTAAAATAATCCACATTTATTTATTATTTATTTATTATTTATTTATTTTCACTTTTTTGAGACAGGGTCTCTGTAGCCCCAGCTGGCCTAGAACACACTATGTAGCTAGGCTGGCCTTGAACTTACTGCCTCTGCCTCCCAAGTGCTAGGATCAAAGGCGTGTACCACTACCACCATGCCCAGCCTTTTTTTTTTTTTTTTTTTTTTTTTTTAAATTTAAGGACTAGATCCATGGGTCAAGTTTAAAAGCTTCAAGATGACATGTGGTTAAAGAGTCTGCCTGGATGGGGCTAGAGAGATGGTTCGGCGGTCAAGGGCACTGGCTGCTGTTACAGAGGACCCAGGTTCTGTTCTCAGCACCCACATGACTGCTAACAACTATCCGTAACTACAGTTCCAGGGGATTCAATGCCCTTCTGGCCTTCATGAGCATTGCACATGTGGTGCACTTGCATACATGCTGGCAAAACACTCATACGCATAAAATAAAAAATAAATCCCACCCCCTTCCCGAAAAGGTCTGCTTTTCCTTGACCTCTAGCCACCAGCTTTCCCCTCTCAGGCTGCCTGTCACCAGGTTTTGTGATGCCCCCTCCCCTGAATAATTAAACACTTGAGAGCTGGCCTTGTACTTTCTACCCTGCCTTGCCCTCCAAGTAGGGCTTGCTGCTGTCCAGAGTCAGCGTAGATATGGGGCCCACTCCTCTCTTAGCTGCGTATGTTGCCCTCTGTGCTGAGATGATTTGGAAGAATGATGTCACTTACATAGCAGATGACACCCTGAGGTCTGTCCACTTTTCAAACTCAGAGCAAGGACCAGTAAGATGGCTCAATGTGTAAAGGCACTTGCCACCAAGCCTGACAACCTAAGTTCGATCCCCAGAACCCACATAGGGGAGAGCTCACTCTCACAAGTTGTCCTCTAACTTCCACACATGCAGCATGATATATATTCCTCCACATGCATGCATACACACAAAATGTAATTTAAAAAGAAAAGCAGTCCTTCCCCTGTCTGCATGGTGGACCAGCCATCCTGAGAGATAGGAGCCATGTTTCTACTGTGCCGACTTCATCTGAAATGGCACAGCCAGCCAGGGCCACTGCAGCCCATGGGAGCCAGGGGATCTGGGCTTGCCTGTTCTGCCTAGGTCCGTGTGAGGCCAGGATCAGAGGTGCTCAGAGAACACAAGGAGGAAGGCTGGGAGAGGCCAGAACAACCAGGCAGCCGCCCTTGTCTCAAGCAGCGACATTCATGTTCCTGTTGTTAAGGTCTTATTTAGGCAAGCACTTTCATTTTGTGTTTACTGACTGCTGCTGGTTCCCATGCCCTGTGCTCCGTGCACCAGACCTGGATGAACCAAGGCAAGACTGCCCATTTTGCAGATCAGTAGACTGCTGAGCTTCAGTCATGTGTCATTCCCCACAGGACCAAGCCTAACCCACCTGGTCCTCCTCAGACAAAAAGGAGGAAAGACAAGGGAGTCCAGAGCTGTTGATCCAGGCTGGAGCCAATGATAAACCCCACGCTTACTCCATTGGCATGGGACATGGAAAAGACGGTCCCCAGGGGGCTGTACTGCCCAGGAGAGCTGCCCCATGCCCTCTCCCTCACTTCCCCAGTGTCCAGGGACAGTGGTCTTGCTTGTGCTATGTCCCAGCGCACCCACACTTCCCCTTTGGGAACTAATTAGGAAAGCACATTGCTCTCCCTGAGCCCACCCTGCCCCAGGTACAGCAGCCTCTGGCAAAGCCACAGGAAGAGGACTGTGACCTTGTCAATGGCAGGAAACCTGGGAGGGAGGCAGAGCAGACACTTGGGTGCTCTGGGCTAAGGCCACTTTGGCCACCAGACTTTTCTAGGTGACCCCTCTGAGTCTCCCTGGCCCAATCTCTAACAGGCAAGGCCGCTAGAACAGGAAAAAAAAAGTGTTTTGCTTTTGCAAAAGTTTTTAAAGAGTTCCAGTGCACTGGAGAAACAGCTCACATTGTATCAGACAGTAAGCAGTGAGAGGCGCCCGCCTCCCTCAGGCCCCTTCCCAAAGCAATTGCTGTTAGTAGTTTCCTGTGGATCCTTCCAGAAAGACTGTACTGGTTTCTATTTCTGAGAAAAAAAAAAGTTTCTCTACTTATGTCTATTGTGAAAGTTCAAGTACTTCATGGCCCTAGAAACATCCATTCCAAAAATGACCATGGTGTGCCCTGCAGTCGTGCAGTTTGGTGAACACACACACCCAGTTATCTACAGCCACCAAGTTAAACCTCACTCAAGTGTCAGGCACATCTGGTTCAGCTCAGTGAAGGCCTTCACCTGAGTGCACCTGTGGGCAAAGCAAGCTGATTGAGAAATACCACTAGCAGCTCAGAGGAACACAGTCCCGGTCCTGCCGTTCACACGGTTGGGTGTGAACAGGTCTCTTGGAATAAACTAGTCTTTCAGGACTCACAGTTCAAAAGCCACAAAAGAGACTAAACTGACAATAAGCTTTCCCTCCATTCTCCACAGTAGTGAAAGCATTTTTCAGACTGGATATTTTTCTCTTCACAACATACCCCTTATGCGTCACAAGACTCTTGATGTTTCAGGATCTGTCTCACTTTTCACAGCTGCATACTATTCTTTCTTGCCATTTGTAGCTTGTCTTTTTGAGCAATAGACAGTTAACGTGCAAGAATCTTCATGAGCTGCAAGGCCAGCCCATCACACGCCTTGGGAGAAGCACAGCTGTGAGCCAAGACCTCTGAGGGTAATTTTCCTAATGGAGCTGACTCCTCCCACAACACTTGCCCTTTCCATTTCCAGGATGCACTGACCCAGACAGACTTCTGCAAGGCTGGGGGACTGGAATAGCCAACCTCAGCCTGGCTGCCTTGACCTTCATGATCTGCACACTGGCCCTACCCGCTAAATCTTCCCAAACACACCAGCATGAGAAAGCACTGAGTTCACAGTGAGGAAACAGCACACAAGCAACATACCTGAGTTTCCCCAGCAAGTTCCTGACCCATTGGGCCCCCGACACCCAGGCTTCCCTTCCTCTGTCCCTGCCACCATTGCAAGTGGAAAGACGTCAGGTCCTCCACAGATGTGGGAAATGAATTCAAACAGGAACAGAGAGAGACCAGGCTCACACAGCATTTAAGGCTGAACAAGGCTTAGAACACGAATCCTCCCCCATATCTGGTCAGGAGACCCTGGGTTCAAGCTCCAGCACTGCAAATTAAAAGGAAATTTTAACCCCCACAAAAAAGGCTCTGAAGCTCTAAGTATGGTGGCCCAGGCCTCTAATCCCAACACTCATGAGGCAGGACATAAAATCAAGGCCAAACTATGTCTCAAACTAAAACAAGAAAGGAAAAGACAGTGTGAGTTTGCTAAGTACTAGGTTATATAAAAGGATATTTTTATTGAGAAACGAATGTTCCTCTGGGATAGAGGAGTATGGTGCAAGCAACAGTGTATTTGCAAATGCATGAGAAAAGAAAGACGTTGGTGAGAGGGGTTAAAAAGCAAGGTTGCCATTTCTACCACTGTGAGAGCATAAAGGTCCGGGGTCAGGAAAGGCATGGGGTAAAGGCACTGGTTGGTAAAGCAGAGTAGGTGAAAGCACGAGGTCTTAATGGGATTGGTAAAGCACGGGGTCTTAAAGGCACAGGTTGGGTTAGGCATGAGTTAAAGGAGGGGTTGGTAAAGGTGTAGCTTTCATAAAGCCATGGGGTTCTCCTTACTCTTTGTCCTGTCTGTATGTTCATAACGATTGCAAAATGGAAGGAACGAAGCCAGGCTCTTGGCCCATGCTGACACAGGGCTGCCAAAAGGTTTCTTGGCCCCTCTGACCCACTCTGCTCCAGCTAGTTCGACAGAGGATGGGAACACCCAGTGAACCCAGGTGTCCCTGCCCATGACTCTCAGGCTCCCATACCCCTCAGGAGGCGGAGGTGGTCCTGTCCCCTGGGGCCTCCTGCCAGTGTGATTTATGTCCCTGTGAGTCTCAGCAGCTGTGAGCTCGGGTCCCACCGGGCATGGGGCTGGGGAGGGCAGTCTTTGCTTCTCAGCGTGTCTAATCCAGACCAGACTTATGGACCCAACGGACCTGGGGTCAGGCTCCCAGGGGATCAGGGTCAGAGGGCAGGCCAGCAGAGCCTGGAAACCAGGAGTCATGGGCTGGAAGCAGAGTTCTAGTCTGATTGAGGTTGGCCATACTCTCTGTGTGACCCAGGGTGGGTGTCTGCCCCTCTCTGTTCTTCATTCATCACAGCCCATACACAGTGAGTCAGAAGAGCTTTGTCGATTGGGACAAGCCTACGTTAGAGAGAAAAGACTGGAAAAATAGAGAAGTTGGGTTTTTTTGTTTTGTTTTCAAGGTAGGTGCTCATGTAGCCCAGGCTGGCCTCAAACTCACTATGTATCTGAGGGTGTCCTCAAATTCCTGGTCTTCCTGTTTGTACCTACAAAGTGCTGGGATTACAGGTTTGTACCTTCATGCTCAATTTCTATGAACTGGGACTTGAACCCAGGGCCTCCTACATGCACACTCTCCCAATTGAGCCATAGCCCCAGCCTGAGTTGTTGTTGTTGTTGTTGTTTTTCTGAGCACTTAAATCCCCTGTTGTTGTTTTGTTGTTTTGAGACAGGGTCTCCCTGTAGTCCCAGCTGACCTGGAACTTGCTATATAGACCAAGCTGGCCTCTATCCCACAGAGATCCACCTGCCTCTGTCTCCGAATGCTGGCATTAAAGGCATGTGCCTTTTTTTGGCATGGAGGCCAAAAAAGGCTGTCAGGTTCCTTGGAACTGGAGTTACAGTCAGTT